GTCTCTACTAAAAATACAAAAATCAACCAGGCGCGGTGGCGGGTGCCTATAATCCCAGCTACTCGAGAGGCTGAGACAGGAGAATCACTTGAGCCCAGGAGGCGGAGGTCGCAGTGAGCCAAGATCACACCACTGCACTCTAGCCTGGGCAATACAGCAAGACTCTGTCTCAAAAAATAAAAATACAAACAAATGAACAAAAAAAGAGTGGGAGATAAAAATAAGCGTAACGGGGAAATGATGCATGCAAGGAAAAAGTTTGGAGTAGGGGGTTTCAGTTTTAAACAGTATGATCAGGGTGGTTTCATTGAGAAGGTGATAGTTGAGCAAAGACCTGGGGTGAGTCCTGACAACATCAGGGGGAAGAGTGTCCCAGGCAGAGAGAACAGCAAGTGCAGAGGCCTCAGGTGGAGACTGTATCTGTCTTTTTTGGGGGGTGGAGGGACAGGGTGGGTCTTGCTCTGTTGCCCAGGCTGGAGCACAGTAGTGCAATCACAGCTCACTGCAGCCTTGAACTCCTGGGCTCCAGCGATCCTCCCATCTCAGTCTCCCGAGTAGCTGGGACTACAAGTACACTTCATCATGTCTAGCTAATTTTTAAATGTTTGTAGAGAAAGAGGTCTTGCTGTGTTGTTCAGGCTGGTCTCAAACTCCTGGGTTCAAGTGATCCTCCTGCCTCAGCCTCCCAGAGTGCTGAGATTGTGCCTGGCTGTCTCTGTCTTATTTGGAGAAAAGCAAGGCCATTGTAGCCGAAGCAGAGAGGAGAGAAAGGTGAAGGCTGACTGCATGGAGACTCTGTGGGGCATTGTGATGGCTTTAAAGTCACCTTGCTCGAGGAGGCTGCCTCAGGGCCTTTGCATATCCTGATCCTTCTGCCTGGAATACTTTTCCCTCTGTTCTTTGCCATGTTACCACATCCTTTAGATCTCAAATCAAATATTACTCCTTACACAAAGCCCTCCCTGACTTCATATGCTAATGGTTTATAACAGTCCATAATTACACAGGCCTTTGGGTCATCATTTGATGACTGTCTGTCATCTTCTTTGGGTATGAGGCCTTCAAGGGCGGGGGCCAGGGGTGTCTGGGTCCCTGCTGTACTCTTCTTTGTGCACATGGGTGGGCGGTGGTTGAGCACAGAGGAAGTTCACAGCACATATTTGTGAATGAGGAGCTAAGATTCACGCACTCGCGCTGTGTCTAGGTTTGTGGTAAATCTTGTATGTACCTGATCCAATTGGTGCTTCTCACTGGAATGTCGGTCCTACAAGAGCAGGGAGATTCATCCATCCTGGTCACTGCTGTCTCTCTAGCACCTGGCACAGTACCTGACACAAAGTAGGTGCTCAGTAAATGTGTCGGGGTTTTTTTTTTGTTGTTGTTTTTAAGACAGGTTCTCACTGTGTCACCCAGGCTAGAGTGCAGTGGCACAAACATGGCTCATTGCAGTCTCGACCTCTTGGACTTAAGCAATCCTCCTACTTCAGCCCCCACAAGTAACTGGGACCACAGCCATGTGCCATCATGCCTGGCTGATGTTTGTATGTTTTGTAGAGACGAGGTTTCGCCATGTTGCCCAAGCTGGTCTTGAACTCCTGAGTTCAAGTAATCCACCTGCCTTGACCTCCCAAAGTGCTGGGATTATTGGCATGAACCACCGCACCCGACAGTAAATATGTTTTGAATGAATAAACTCTCATAAATGAAGTACGTGTGAGTATCCTGGTTTCCCAAGTAACAACAGCTGACTTAACTGCTTTTTCACCAGTACTAGTTATGGTTCAAAGCACCTTCCATAGATTTACTCATTTATTCCTTACAACAGCCCAAGAGGGAGGTGCTGTTATTAGCCTATCTTACAGATGAGGGAACTGAGGCACAGAGAGGTGAAGTCACCTGCCCCAGGTCACACAGCAAGTAAATATCAACGCCTGGATTCAAACTAGGGCAGCATCTGGCTCTGGACTTGGGTTCTTCACTGCAGTCCTGAACACCCCAGAGAGGTTCAAAGAGCGGAACGTGCCCAAGATGTCACTGCCGTTTGAATCCAGGCATGCCTCCCTCACCACCCAGGCTTTTAAGTCCCAGGAAGGGGAGACGGGTTGGTGTGGGATCTGATGAGGTTTCTCTTCAAATAATCCAACCAATCTTTTATTCTTTCATTCATAGTACCTCTCCCCACCGCCTTTTTCCCTTTTTCTCCTTTTTTCCTTTTTGCCTTTTTTGAATGCCCAGACACGCCACAATACCAGGCGTTATCAATACCAGCTCACGTTCCTTTCCTTATTTAAAAAAAGGACTAACTTTCTAACTCATTGCGGACACCGCTTCCCCTTTCCTCTCCGCTTTCTTTAACGTGCCCATCTTATCTAAACAAATCAAATGTTTAGCCAACCGAAATTAGTTTAAATTGTATAACCCGACCCCAGCCAATAAAAAAAAAAAGTACAAAAGCAAGACTTGCGTCAAAAATAAAGGCTCTCGTGCCCCTTTGTTCAAGCGTGCTCTCCTCTGTGCAAAAGTAAAATTACTTTACTAAAAATCCTTTGTTCAAGTGTTCCATTTCCTTCAGATTTTAAACATTATTTCAAACATTGGGGTTATGGTTGTCCTCTGATTTATCTTTCATCTTTGCAGGCCTGGGCCCCTCACTGCTCTCTCCATACTCAGACGAGGACACTACCCAGCCCAGGGACCACTTCCAGCCAACGGCAGGCTCGGCCCAAGCCGACTGAGCCGCCTCCTCTCCCCATCTGCCTTCTCCTCCCCCAGAGAGGACCTCAACCACACTCCAAGCCGGCAGCCAACGCACAGGATGGGGATGCCAGGAGAGGGGCCCCTCTCCTCTCTATGTGCCCCCTGCCCACCTCGGGCCTACCTCAGCCCTCACCCCTCTGCCTGCTCCCAATCTGGGGGCTCTTTGGGGTAGTCTCAGCTCAGTGACCTCTGGGAGGGGGTCCCTGGCTCCCTCCTCCTCCTCTCAGGATTTCTCTTGGGGTTCTCAATACTTGGTTACCTCATTATCCCTTTCTCTGCCTCTCTTGGCTTTATTTTGGGGAATTAGGGGTGGGGAGGGTTGGCGGGGGGTCATATCTGTGTTTCCAGGTTCTGGGGAGAACAATGATCCACAGGTCAGTGTGATCACATTTCCTTCTCTCCTTATGTTATTATTTTTATTTTTGTCAATTTCGTGATATGGTTTTTAATCATGATGAATTGCCTGGGGTCTGTAAGAATGTGGGACTCTGATCTTCCCCCCCTCCTCAGGTGTCAGTCGGGGGAGGCCCTGGGCCAGTCGTTACTCCCAGCGACTTCTAATTGAGGCCAAAGCCCCCCAAGCCCTGCCTGCCAGCCCTGCCTGCCCCTTCCACTCTGGGCTTCCTGCTGCCCCCAGCTTTGCCTGGACACTGACTTCATTCATGGTCCTCCTACTTCAGGAGCAGCCTTCCACTTCCTCTGCTTCCAAACTATGCAACCTCCAACCTGCTCCAGTTCCAGACCGTATAACCTCTGACCTGCACTGGTTCTAGACCACACAACCTCCAATGTGGTCTGCTTTAGACCTCCTCGTCTTCCTCCTCCTTCCTCTTTCTCTTCCTCTTCTTCCTCTTCCTCTCTTCCTCTTCGTCTCTTCCTCTTCCTCTCCTTCTTCTTCTTCTTTTTTCTTTTTTTTTTTTTGAGACAGAGTTTTGCTGTGTGACCCAGGCTGGAGTTCAGTGGTGCAACTTCGGGCTTACTACAGCCTCCACGTCCTGGGTTCAAGTGGTTCCCCTGCCTCAGCTTCCCAAATAGCTGGGACTACAGGCATGTGCCACCATGCCCAGCTAATTTTTGTATTTTTAGTAGAGACGGGTTTCACCACGTTGTCCAGGCTGGTCTCGAATTCCTGACCTCAAGTGCTCCACCTGCCTCAGCCTTCCAAATTGCTGGGATTACAGGCGTGAGCCACTGTGCCCAGCTAGGACTCACATTCTCTAAAATCCCTCTGCTTCAAATTTCACCATCTTCAGCTCTTTCTAGTTCTGGACCTCACCAACCTCTCATTCTGCCTGTTTTCAAACCTCGCGGTCCCCAAAAATTGTCTGGTTCTGGGCCTCGCAACCTCTAACTCCCTCTGGCTCTACAGTCTATGACTCCCAGATTCTTTTGGTTCTAGAATTCACTAACTTCCTCTGGTTCTAGACCTCTTCCTATAAATTAATCTCTCTTGTTCTAGATCTCACACCCTCCAACGCCCCCTGGTTCCAGATCTTACATTCAGTGATTTCCTCTGGTTCTGAACCCCACAACGCCAAGCTTCCTGTTGGTTCCACTCCTCCTGATTGGTAATATATTTGGTTCCAAATCCAGACCTCTTAATATCTCTCTTTTTTTTTCTTTTTTTTTTTGGTCATCCAGGCTGGAGTGCAGTGGCAGGATCTCGGCTCACTGCAAGCTCCGCCTCCCGGGTTCACGCCATTCTCCTGCCTCAGCCTCCTGAGTAGCTGGGA